AATGCTTTGCATATGACCTGGATTACAGATGCTAGATAAGTAATAGGGAGAAACATGAATCAGGTCTTCCTTTTGTCAGAATTGAGAAATATGATTGACAAAATGGAGAAATGTACTTTCAAGTGCTACCAATATTATGAAAGAGGTATTATGTTTGCAATGTGCATTATTCCTTGGTGTATAAAGTGGATTATTGTGCATATAAATTTCGAGAGCGTTGCAGAATCTGGACAGATATGCTAGAAACAAATGAGACATGGTTGTTTTATTGTTGTCATTACATACAATCAAGTTCACTTGGGCTTGGGATAGTTATGATATCTAACTTCACAACTTGGATGGGTTACATTTTGTGTCTAGGAAGCATTAAATATAAATTTTTGGTCTGTAGCCAATGTTTTAGAAAATTAACTGAAGTAATATAGGTCTTTGGGGCAGGTTTGATGCACTTCCTACAAGCAAATTTTGATTCTTCTTTATCTCTGCCCACTTGGTATGCTTATCATCTCTTCAGGATTATGTTCCAAGTAAATTCCTTTGCATTTTGTTCTTTGATAAAACGTTTGTCATGGGATATAAGTTTTGGTTAGAATCTGAGTGTATTAGATCAAATAAGGTACTAATTTGTTCTTTTCTGTTGAATTTCTCCTCCATGTAAAATGAAATCAGAGTGAGCAACATAATTTATCGCAGACAAGGAGTTTGTCGCATAATGTGGTGTTTGATTTCATGTTGTACATTGCGTTTGAGGTCATGGTTGGAATTAAACTGCCTTGGAAATTTGGTCTGACTTTCCATTCAAGTCATTTTTGGGACTTCATATGTGTTAGCGTTGCCGTCTGAATAACAATTTTTTCTAGCTAAGAATGCAATTCAATTTAATGAATCTTAAGCCTGTCTGGGCTGTTACGGTTTCTTAATTATAGCTTCATATGGTATTTGATTTATTTCTCTAAGTTGACTGATCTAATATTTTCCTAGGGCTAGGATCATCACTTCTCACATTTCTTTCGTCTATTTATTTTTAGTCATTTCTATGAATTTTTGTTGGATTTTTTTCACTTTTCTGTCTTGCAAATTTTGTTTCCTATTTTCTCCCTTGCTCTGTGAAACATGTATGTTAGATATGAACGAGTTCCCAATATAGACATTTATATGTTAATGTTAGTTAATTATTTTTGCTCTTGGCTTGATTTATTTCAGGTTCTTATGTAACTCGCTTAAACATTTCTTTCAAGTTTTGTGCTCTATTATGACTGAAGAGTATGATTACACTTGATTGCTTATCTGGAATGTTTACTGCTTGTGCAGGAATTAGTTGGAGGATTTGACCAGGAAACTACAGCTGTTGTATTAGCAAGATATATCTCTTTGAAAATGGAGATGGAGGTAAGGAAAGTTTTACATACCTGGATGGATGTTTTTACTCCATGATCACTTGCCAAAATCCCCAATCTATACTCAGTAGCTGGTGAAGTTCATACTCTAGCTCTTTTTTGGTAATATTCAGAGTGCATTAATAAATGTTATTATATTTTTTATTAATCTAATGTTAATTTGTCGCATATGTTTCTGATTTCTCTACTTTAGTCCAAATTGGATTATGCTGTTTAAGTTGAATAACAAATTTAGCATAAATCTGTATATAATACAATAAAAAAAATTTAAAATTCTAGGAAAACCTTTATGATTAGGTTAAGCGGTTTTGATTGTTTTGTACAGTAAGCATTCATTTTTTCAGGAAGCGTTTGATGCATCACGATGGTTGGACAGATCTCTCATCCGTCTTTGCTCACAGTTTGGTAATTACCGAAAAGATGACCCTGCTTCATTTACGCTGCATCCAAATTTTTCAATATTACCACAGTTTATGTTTAACTTACGGCGCTCGCAATTCGTTCAGGTACTATCATTCATAGTCATCTTAGGTTTTATTAATTCAAATGTATTATGAGTTCTTTTAAAGCTATTTTATGCTTTCTTACTACAGGTTTCTAACAATAGTCCTGATGAGACTGCTTACTTCCGAATGTTGTTAAATCGGGAGAGTATCACCAATTCTGTTGTTATGATCCAGCCTTCACTGCTTTCTTATTCATTTAATTCTCCTCCTGCACCTGCATTGTTGGATGTGACATCTATATCCGCAGATAGGATACTTTTGCTTGATGCTTATTTCAGTGTTGTTATTTTTCATGGTATGACCATTGCTCAATGGCGCAATATGGGCTACCATAATCAACCAGAGCATCAGGTAACTCTATGGCATTATCATGTTGTTTTTTCTCATGTATGAATTTCTAGAAAATTAGTGTTTTAAGTGTTGCTCTATGTGATTTAGTTAGTCAACTTTACTTCCATGTCACCGATTTTATCTAATTTTCAACTTTCTTTAAAATCCTGATTTGTCTGTTACTCTGGAACTCTGGGTTCTCAGGTCCTTGTGAATTAATAACTAAAGTGAACTTTCTGACAGATGGTGAAAATTGTGTTTATAGTAGTAGTTGAAACCAAAAAAGAACAATAGAAGAAATATTGTGGAACTGTTTTGGCCTCATACTGCAGCTAAGAAAGAAAGATAGTTAAATGATATGAATAGTGCATAACCTGCTTCTTTCCAGAGAAATGTCCATAACCTGCGTTTTCCCAGCAAAAAAATCAACTTCCTCTAGTACATCTCCGCTTATATGGTTCATTTATTTTATTTAAATTCATCTAGTCAATGTTAGTTCTGCTTCCATCTGAAGCTGACATGGAGTCATTGGATAAATGATGATATTAGCACTTGATCACCCATCTCTGGATTGTTTTAGTCCACAGCTTGGTGTAAAACCCTTGTTCATATTAAACTATATCTATGTTTAAATTTGTTTGCAGCAAATTTTGAGAGTCCAGTTGCCCATTTCTCTTTAGTCTTATACATCCCCATGTTTTTATGATCAATCTCCAATACAACTGAAATTAAATCATTTGAAACTGTTTTAGGTATAACTGAAATTTACTGCAATCATCTTCATAGTCCTATTCAATCCTGTGGATGCTGTTTAACCAAGGACTCTATTCTGCCTGTAAAAACTTGGATTACATAAGTAGTTAAATTAGTTGTGATCCTTTTGCATTATTTGTGGTCCTTTTCACTTTTGAACTCGGTAATAGGTATATTTGTTGTGAGCCTCTTGCATTTAATGTACCATCATTCTCACCTTGTTTACATAATCTGGTACATTACTTCCCTTTATCTAAGACAACTGTGTTGATTTACAAGTGTTCAAATTTTCCTACTTACGAGAAATGATAATGTAGAGTCAGGTTCTTGTATACAAGGAGCTAGTCTGACCGCTATGGTGTTCCAAAGCTCGACTGTACCTGTTGGTAGAGACCAATGTTTATCAGTCCCATCAAGTATCAGTATTGAAATATATAGCTTGAGACTAACATAATAATGTACTTTTATTTTTTATTATTTTATTCAATAATACTGGATGGCATGAGTTACTCACCATCCGATGTACCAGGTTCATACTGGTCCAATGTTATGCACTTTCTATATCATTTAAATCCTTCCATCCAAAAGGGCAATATAGGGATGAACTCTCAGTTCGGGCCCTTTCTCAGAGTGTCTTGGTTTATTATTCTGCAAATTAAAATTTTCACAAAGAAAGTATATTGATGATTTTTTGTCTCTTTTTTGCCATTTGCAGGCTTTTGCTCAGCTATTACAAGCACCTCACGATGATGCTCAATTGATCATCACAGACCGGTTCCCTGTTCCCAGATTAGTGATTTGTGATCAGCATGGCTCCCAGGTCTGTATTTGTTGAGTGATTTTTCGCTTGACATCACAAGACCATAATTTCCTTTATGTTAGTTGTAGGAACTGCTGCATGATGTCTGCTGCATGCGAAACTTGGATTACTTGAAATTAGTTGGAAGCATTTTACAAAATGGAACATTATTGGAACATAAACTACTAGTTGGAAGCCCTGATGACTAACTTGTGCATATTTCTTCCACAGGCAAGATTTTTGTTGGCGAAGTTGAACCCATCAGCCACATATAACTCCGCCTCCCATGAGGTAGTTCCTGGCAGTGATGTCATCTTGACGGATGATGTCAGCCTTCAAGTTTTCTGTGAGCATCTTCAGAGGTTGGCTGTTCAGTCATGAGCACATATGCTGCAACCCTCTCTTTTTCCTATATTGGATATTGATCCCAAATGTCTCATCATATTTGCGGTTTGGAAGTAGGATCTTGGTGTGCATGACTCCAGTTCCTTTCCCTTCCTCCCAATCATATTCTTGAATCACTACATCAAGCCAGTTCTTTTGTCGACTAATAATGGTCAATGCGTCTAATCACTTTCTTGCAAGAACATCCCAAAGCTTGCTTGTGGAATTAAGTTTCAGGAGGTTGACCAAGTTTTTTTTTAGAATCTTACCAACTTGTAATAGTAATGTTAAAACCAATCTCCCTGAGTGAATTCCAAGTATTTTTGTTTGTAGACTAGAAATCTAGAGTAGGTTTCATCAACCATACAAAATAGTTACTGTTTTATTTTTGGATATTATGTGATGATGTATTGTGAAAAACTCTATACAGAAGCAAACCTTATATCAGGCGGTTCTACTGGTTATGTGTTGGTCTCAAGGCAACTAAGATAATGTGGTACACAGCTTCATTCACCTCTCTAGCAATTCCCTTTTTATCTTATGAGCTGCTTGACTTAGAAAAACATGTTGCCTGCTACTACTGTTGCAATAATAAAATCTTTGAAGTCCTAATTATTTAGGATCGGATATGTGGAAGTTTCAAAGTAGAAAAAGCATGTTGTGACTCTTTCCAAATGAGGCATTATACCACACGGATATGTGGAAGTTTCCAAGCGACTAATCTGCCACGGTGACGATGTGGTACACAACTTCATTCACCTATCTAGCAAATGCCTTTTATCTTATGAGCTGCCTGACTTAGAAAAGCATGTTGCTACTCTTCCAAAAATGTGGGCCATTCAAGGTTTTTGTGTATTGCTTGTCTGAAATAATTGGTCATCTTAACACCTTACTTGGAAGCATCGATCTTTCACCCACTGCTCTGCGTATATATGCACTGCTTGATATGCAATGCAAGGGGTTCAAGAGAGGTAATAATTGTTGTCTGTTATGGAATGTTTATATGAACAGGTATACGATAAGATCACTTTATTTCACATAAGGTATACATAGTTGGTCAAGCGTTATTCAATATATAATCATCATGTGATTTTCAAGATAAAAGAAGATGAAGATCACTCTTCACTTGTCAACTCACGTGGATAAAGATCAAAGATAAACGATTATGAGCTGTCCCTTCTTTTGTCGCCCATGTGCATAACAGGCCAAGGGGAGGTTATTGTATAGAGTATTATGAGTTGTCTCCCCAAAGAATATTTCATAGAATATTCTATTCGTTTACGATCATTGTATAAAAGCTCATCTTCAACATAATGAAAAAAAATGGGGATCACCTTTTTTTATCACTTGTGTCCATACTTTATACCTTAAAGTACTAACTTGGGCGTCGAGAAATCAGGTCGGGAAACCTCTTTCAACCTCGATCTTTGTGCAGGTGACACCTCGAGAGCTCAACGTTTTTTTACCTTGGAGGCACCTCGAACAACCATACACATACACGTTTAAATTATGTCAGGTTGATCAGGACGTCAATGACTTCTTTCCTCAATATTTTTGGCCTTAGAAGGAGGGCCGAATGTGGGAGGAACGTTTGTCCATCGACCTTCTTGATGAATGCTCGAGCAAAGAGGTTTTGTCCCCGACTTACAATAATTTCACCCAAAGGGGGGAACAACAATCGTTTTTGCATGTGGACTTTTCCATCTTAGCGCAAATATCATAATGCGATACTAGCATTTATTCAACGATTAGGATATCTCAGCCTAGCGACCTCGAGCCACCCATCCAACTTCTAGTTTGAGTCTAATCATAATGCGAGTTGGGTCGCTAAGCTTCAAGATGCTCACCAAGACAATAAACACCCAACCAACCTGTGTCTTTTCAAGGCACAAACAACTAATCCATCTTTTCAACAGAACAAGCACCCGATCAACCCATCTTTTCATTAAGCAATGGAGTACTCAAAACTTACCAATGCCACTCGCTCAATTAAGCAAGGGAATAAAAAAGCAAACGAGCAATGATGTTCCACACTTATATCTTTTGTTAGTGAAATGATTTCTTTCTTTCCTGTTGAGTTTGTTGTTTTTAACTTAAGGATTGATCAAGGCGTTCTTGAATCTCACCTAGCAAATGTAGATGCTAACAAGCATGATATAAGTCATCACTCCACTTTTGCCTTAGTTAGCCCAATAATAGATGCCACCAGCTCAATCATGATCACGAGCTCAACTGCCATTGTCATTGGCACCCATCGAGGTTCCTCCACTTGACGTGGTGCCAACATTCCAAGAGCGCTCAAGACCCATCAAATCATTGGCCGAGGGGGCACTTTGATTCCCAATCGTGGAATTCAATGGATCATACCATCACTCTACCCTTCTTGAACCCAAGACTCATTTGACAGATTCGACAAAGGATTCCATGCAGATCCAATTACGATATATGGATTGACATTTGGAGAAGATACGAATGTTCCAATAAAATAAAGGGGAAGCGCGGGTCAACCCCATCTTGGATCAATTGCCAATCACCTAGAAAATCTAGGAAAATTTGATTCTAACAAACTTTCACCTTATTAGAGGCATTTGATGGCAATGATAATCTAATGGAACACATTGCAGCTTTACGTACCTAAATATCATTGTATAGCACTTCAGATGCCCAAATATGCTGAATATTCTCGACCACATTAAGAGGCTCAACACGAAAATGATACACTCACTTGAAGCCACTTTCCATTAGTTATTTTGGCCAGTTCATGAGGGAGTTTGAACTTCACTTCCTCGGGAACATGCACCCGAGGTTGTCAATGGTAATGCTTTTCTAACTTAGGCAAGGGGAGGAGAAAATGCTTGCAAACTTCATCACTCGATTGACCAATGAAATCTGAGACGTAGTAGATGCCCATCTATCATTCATAAAATAGGCCTTCATAATGAGGCTCATGCTCTCTCACACCTTTTGGTAATTGATGGAAAAACCATCGGTGACAATACTAGAGAAACTTCAGAAGGTCAATCAATATATTACCACAAAGACAATATTCTTGGATAAGAATGAGAAGTCATACAAGAGCTTGAGTAGGAGCGGCCATAATCCACCCCCGACCTTGAGGTCACCATGACGAAACATAAATGAAAGACCCGAGTTATCTTGTCCAAGGTCAGAGCTGACCCCAAAAACATGACTAGAACTAAAGTTTTTCTACAAATAAAATATAAAAGGACATTTTAAAGACTCACCCGATGAAGACTCTATTGGAAAAAAAAGATAGGTCTAAATACTACTGATTCCACTAGGATTATGATTATGCTAATCATCTCACAAACAACGGGTCCAATCATTTGTAGATTGATAAGAGGTACAGATCAACATCCATTCACCGGTTCCACGTGGCCTTTGTCTGAAGCAATTTTAACTATAGCACGCTGCAAACCAAGCAAGCTAAGAAATTATAAACATTGTGATCCAAGAAATGACACTACGTCATCATACGTTACTTTGCTTGTATAACTTTGTATCCAGCACTTGCTTCCCGCACATGGCACACACCCCTGAAGCAGAAAATGGATGCAAGTGTTAAGAACACCTTCCAAGATTCATTTTGAACAAGAACCAACAAATGATTAATTCCCATATGCAATTTCTAAAGATTTAGCTGTTTGTTAGCATTATCCAAATGGCAAGGTGGCTTAAGTTCTGCTGACGAAAGTCACAAGTTACAGATAAACTTGCTAAACTAAAACAAAATAGCCATTGAGTGAAGATCAACTAAGGAAAGCTTTTGTTAGATAATGAGATAAATTAAAATCTAATCTAACCTGCATTCAGAAGTAACTTAAATTCATTATCAGGTTCTACACAGAGATCAACTTAGTGACAGAAATTGAAAATTCTGGTGCACATTAAACTCATGGCTACAAAACTACACGACAGAAGAATCGTCATGAGGACCTATAATAAAGATCACCAAGATGGTTAGCAAATGAATTAATAGCATCAGAATTCTTGCCTTTAGAGTATGCACAAGTATGACAATATTTTGCATCTTGGTGTACTTGTTGTTTGCAAATCATGCACTTGGTATTTCCATAAGGTGTCCATCTGCAAGATTGTAAACACCAAATATCAGTTCATAGCAATGACATGTATAAAGTGGTATGGCTAACAGCAATAGAATTTAGAACAGATAACAATGACTAAATGAAATAAGTTAACTGGTTGTTGGTAAAACAAGATAGGTCAAATCTTAGGAAAAAAACTAACCCTACAGCATAAATGTTCCTACTTGTGTCAAAGGAATATTATAAACATCTACTCTATAGCATAAGAAAGCAGCTTCCCGGGACTGAAGAATAATAAAACACAAAAGTTCATATGCCATATTGGTAACAGTTAAGTTTGATTTGCCATCGTGTTAGCAGTCACTATCCATGTTGCATGGACATGGATACCAAAATCTGATATGGACATCCATCCAAGTGTTTGATTTGGGAAGAGACAAAACAATGATATGACCCATGAAAATAATTAATATAGAGCCACATATGGAACTAATTTAAGGATGAACTTCTGCAATAAGGACTTAATGCCTATTAGTATAACTTCAGGTTTACAGATTCTAGATCACGTGATTAGGCTTGCTCCACACAAGTTTTTTAATAATCTTTAAATATTTTCACAAGAATAAATAACACAACTTCCAAAACATGTGTTTGGAATGACATTGCTGATGTGACTTAAATCCAACACCCAATATAACATTTCCAACTTTTCCTAAACAAATATGCAGACCTAGAAGTTTCCTAAACTTGCTCATCACTGTTGTCAATGTCGTCTACTAAATCTTCTCGCATTAGTATGGAGCTGAACATAAAGCATTTACAAGATGATGCTCAATTGAGGCAACATGATGGTTTGCTGCAAAACTAGAAGACTAGTCAGATGGTAGTAACAGTAAAGGTCTACCTCAAACACCGAGGAACAACCATTTAAGGAAGACTCAAAAGGAGGAGATAATGACAATAATTTCTGCATGTTGCATTATATCAAAGGTACATAACTCCCAGTGTTGCATTAACAGTGTGCCACTGGAAAAAAAAAAAAAAAGGTGTCACCTTCATGTTATAGTTAGGTCATGGACCAAACAACTCACCAGAAACCGTCAATAAGTCATCCTTTTCCTTCAAAAGCAGAACTCACAGGTTCCCATAGTAATGCTTGAAAATATTGGATGCCACAAGTTGCTTCCAATGCTTAGAAACTTATAAAAGAACCCATTTGAACATAAACACTTGAAGTATTCTATTTACGGTATGAAACATGCATTGCAATCTCCAGAAGTTTTAGATCAGACACCTGCACCATATGCACAGTTCTAATATCTTTGTATATTCACTTCTATGCTCCATCAAACATGTATGCTTCACAGATCACTTCTCATTTGAATGATTAAAGTTGTGTACTCTACTAGCACCGAAGATCACTAAAGCTACAAAGTAGTTCTTCTTCCCCCTCCATTTCTCTTGAATCTTCCTTCTTATGTAACAACCGTTAGTTGATATCCTCATGCCATTGCAAGCGTAACTAAGGTTTACATCTTGCACAGATTTTCAGGCCCATTTAACATGATAAGAATGATTGCTTTTACAAGAATGAAAAGATTACAAGTAATGCCTCTAGCTAGTTGACGCTCTATTGGGTCTGAAGACACTGGATGTACAGCAAACTTTGTTGATGTAATATAGTTTTCCATAATGTGATAGTACTAGGAATTCATGAGGCAAGGAAAACAGAAAACATAATGCAAAATCCTTGCAAAATCAAAACACATTATGATATTTTACAGAGAAGAAAAAGGAAAGAATGCAATCTACAAGAAAATGTTTTATGTTCTCTGACTCATTATTTCCAAAAAACTTGGTCCAATCATGACTTCAGAAAATGGCACCAGCATTTGTCAACATATCACATTAGGGTTTTGAATCTCTATCTAAGCCCCCCCCCCCCCCCCCCAAAAAAAAAAAATCAGAATGGAGGATATCAAAAGCATCCAGAAATTACGATGAGATTGTGATCGTTCCTGAACAAGAAAGAGCAAAGAAAGTAACGATTGCTAGGAAAATCTGAAAGCAAATGTTTCGTCCGATCTGATTCATCTGTTTCCGGAAGACTCGGACCACTCTTGGATTCAATAGATGGAACCAGCAATTTAGCATAACTGGCGACATGTCAAATTACGGTTTCAGATCCTCTTCTATAACATAATAGATCGAAAACTATGAGCTGATAAATTGCCCTAATTTATAGTTTAGTTCGAAGGCAATAATCTAAAAGCACATCAAACCCTTGCATCAAAAGGAGAGGGTGTTTCTCTGGTACCGATGCGAGAAGAATCAAGAATAGACCTGTTCTTCTTGGAGAGGAGTTTGTTCTCATTGATCTTTCGGCCGCCGCTCTCGGTAGTGTTGCTGGCGCCCTCCTTCCACTTGTCCGGCACGATTACCTTCGCCAGCTTCTTCTCGCCTGCAATCGAAAACAGAGAAAGAGAGATCGTTAATCATACAAGAAAAAGGAAAGGAAATTTTAGGGTTTAGAGAGAGGGTCAGTACACTTGTCGCACACCATGGTTGTTTTCTGATAGAGATCGAGCAAATAGAGGCGAGATTACAGACGCGAGGGGAGAGTCGAGGAAATAAGAACCGTAAATTTAAAGGTGTCTGCTGTTCCGCGGAATATATGGAGGCACCAAGAGGTCCCCTGTTTCGGCTCGGACAGGGTTAAGCTCTTGGATCCAATCGCGAATATTGAGGGCAGCTGCCAGTGGAGGTTCCACACACGAGCGCGTTGGATACCTGTTTCGGCTGGGTCAGGATTCAGTTTCTTCCTTCGAGCCTCAGCCCTCGGATTCGATGGCTGTGCGAATCTTAAGGCATATGTCTTTGGCCTCCGATAGGGTTGAGCCTTTGGATTCAAATGCTTCGCGAATCTTAAGGCGGTTGGAATCTGGCGGTCCAACGTGTTTCTTCGTTAGAACCTGGAGCCCTCGGATTCGAAAGTTTCGCGACTCTCAAAGCAGATGCCTCTGATCACCGGTTTCGGCTTCGGTTTCTAATACGCAAGCCACGTCGGTGGAGGACTACCGGAGGCGCAGAGCATGAACGAGCGTCGGAAGCTCTCTCCCAAGAAGAGACTCCATGCACGTCTATTAGCTTCCAGATCCTTCGCGGCAAAAGTTCCCTGTGTCGCCAATCATGTGTCACAAAGTTCTCGTTTGCTTCTTCTCAGAAAAGGAAAAAGAAAGGTTTTGATGATTTCAGTTTGCCTTTTATTGAGAAGATGGTAGGAACGAGTTCATCATTGCAGAGAACGACGAATGATAATGTCTGCTCACTGTAGGCAATGATCATGATCAGTTCCTAATTCAACTCGAAGGAATACATCATCTTTTATATCTCAGATCTGGCATTCTGAAGTATTTGTAGTAGTAGAGGTTTAAGCAGTAAAAGTAGCATTAGTAATCAAAGAAATTTATGTCATAGGTAATCAGAAATGTATGGCATTCTGACAAGTACTAGTAGTAGTAAAAGTAGCATTTGTAAGCTCAAATGTATGGCATTCTGACAAGCATTTGTAGTAGGAAAAGTATAAGCAGTAAAAGTAGCATTTGTATGCAAAGAAATTAATGTCATAGGTAAGCAAATCAGATATGTATGACATTCTGATCAGTGATGTTAAAGCAATCTGCCGTAAACATTTTGGGAATTAACGCACAATTCAGAAACTTTTGCCGAAATTCAATCATGCAATTGCTCATCGCATAATCACCATGGTGTTCAAGGCCGAAAATTCCTCGATAACTACCAGTAAGATTTGCTGGTTGACAGTTTCTAGTGGGAGTAGCGTTATTGTGCTTCCAAAGACATTACTCAGAATTTGGTTGTCCAGACAGCATATACAACAGAATACAAGTTCCACAAAAATTGTGCGCTAAAGTTCCACGAAGCCTATCCCATAGCAAGGTGTTCAATCTTTCGTGGAGACCGTCCGAAACAGCCTCAGTAAAGGAAAACATTCTTTGCTTGATGAGCAAGAATGTATTCACTTTTTTGGGCGCTTCATATCCTGTATTAACGAACATGCTAAATTTTCTGTTCAAGGACATGCCGCAACTGAATCTTTTGACTCTCCATCCTTGCCTCCATCAACTGCGCCTTTAAACTGTACTTCTGTTTGCCTCGTGGCCACTCAATACACCCTTTCATTCCTCGCGTCGTATGAAGATTCAGTGAATCAGCAGAGCTCCACTGTGTTATGCTACCTGGGCTTAAACCAACTTCACCGAACCCTAAGTCAGGAGACAAGGTTCCTTTGGAGATCATTCCATTTGTATGCTCAACTGAAAGTTTCTGATATTCTTCACCATTAGTTGAAGCTCGGGTTCCATTGGAGATCCTTCCATCTGAAAGCCTCCCAGGTTTCACCTCAACCGGTGTTCTCTTCAGGTCTTCAATAATATCATGTGTTGATGATCTCCAAAGCCTACATATTGAAGACACCTTTTTACTTGACATTGCATTTGTAGAACAATCCGTGATGATTTCGTTATTCAGTCTGTTGTTTCCATTCTCCTCCCAGTCTGCTATGCTCACTGAAGCATTGCTTTCTTTACAGTAACCATTAACAGATGGTTCACTCACATCAAGTGTATTGCTTGAGCCTTGCTCCTCAGCATGACTCACTGTTTCCCAGTCACTATCATCTTCTACATCATCATCGCTATCTATCAACTCATGCTGCTTCATTGGATGTCCTAGAAAGACATCTGTCTCAGGAGTTGCCGTGTTAACCTTGGATGCATGGCTTCTAGGGCTATGATTACAGCAAAGTTGGATGTCTCTTTCATTAGTTTCTTGTCTTGGTTGGGGTTCTTCAAAAACAGCGTAGATGTCTTCTGAAGAAGGTGGTGGCTGGTAAGAGAACTCTTTTATCTCTTCAACAGTAACTGAGTTTGCTTTTTCTTTAAGCAACTCAGCTTCCCTCCTTAGTGCAACATCCATGTCCGCATCCATCCTTGCAGCTAAAAATGCTTCTAACTCTGCTTTCAGGTCCCTCAGTTGCGAGTATTTCTCCTCAAGAGTCAGCTTTGCATCAATTAACTTCATCTGAACCCTTTCTTCTCGCCATACCTCTGCCATCTGCAGCATCCTCTTCTCCTCCTCAACTTGTTCTCGGATATTTAATGCTTCCATCTTCAGTGATTCAATTTCAGCTTTGTCTTCGCCAATCTCTTTCGTGAGCTCATCACAGACCTCCTCAACAAGCTCACGTGCTTTGCATCCTTTTTTATAGTCCTGCAAGAGCTGCTTCGCAGCCAACTTCGTCTCAGCGAGTTCATTGACCAGCTTGGTATGGACAATCTCTATCCTTTGCCGCCTTTTCCTCTCTCTATCAAGGTCAGCCTTCATTGCCTCGATTATAGCCTGGACCTTCTCGTGCTCTCTGCTCTGCCATGATGCCTTCTCATCAGCAAGGCTTTTCAAGAATTGATCCAACTTTTTCTTTGCTGATCTCCGTTCTGTCTCAAGCTCACTGATGCGGGCATGAGCCTTTTCCAGCTCAGTACAGAGAGACGAAACAATGGACACTGTGTTCACATCCTCATGTTCCACAACCTTCAGGTGATTGTAGAATCGATAGACCTCCTCCAATGTCATTGAGCTGCCAGGGTCCCATTTAGTTGCCTTCTCCGTTTCAGCACTCGGAAATCCAGCAAACTGTTCAACATGAAAAATATCAACCAGACTTAAAGTAGCTGTCTAAAAAAAAAAAGGGTGCAGGAATACATTCAGACCATAGAAATAAAAGGCTTCTCCTGTGGATATTTCCATATTTTGGACTTAAGACTGAGACAGGACTGGCAAAATCGTTCTTCTTATTTTTATTAGTGTGGAGATCAGTGCTGAGGGGATTACAAAGTAGCTGAACTTCTTGATACCCGCGGATAGGGCTTCAAAGTAGAAAGGAGAGGTGCAGAGTGAATGAATAATGGCATTCATACATACAAAGTGCATCGTAGACTATGGACATACATTGACAACCCTCATCAAGACTATAGATGAGAGATTCGTAGTGAAGTTGACTAAACACATAGCATTCTTTAGGATTGTTAAAGATGGATATGGTATTAACAACTGCTTGAGTTCCAGGATTGATGAGAACAGCAAGAAATCTAGCACAAGTCAGGTAAAAGGAAAGACACAATGTTTCTAAGGACAAAATATCCATGTCTTTTCCAATTCCTTCGAGAATCAAGAGTAAAGGGAATTCTATTTTCCTTTTCTTAGGAGCTCTTGAGGATATTTCAAAGGTTCCGATTTGGATGATCTTGAACGAACTGAGCAAGATAAACTTGGTTTTTAACACGTGTACCATCAAAATGTGAACTCTCCACAAGATCCATACCAATCTACATAGAGGAAAGAAACCCTATAAAGAGGGTGGGGATACTTGTGCTACCCTACCTCAAGACATGGAGGAGTTCGTCGGCCTTCTCCTCCGCCGCCGCGGACGCCGCTACCGGCATCCAGAGGCTGCAGATGCCAGATCCCCGCCGCGAGCTTCCTCGCCGAGACTCCTGGGAGAGGCGGCGGTGCCTCACTGGAGCCGGCATTCTCGGCCTTCCGGCTGGGCTTCGGCGGGGGTGCCTCGTTGAACTTCCACCGAAGCAAGGGGGTGGTGGGGCCGCTCCTCCTTCCGCCGGAAGCGGGGCCACCCTTTCTCAGGCGGGCTTCTGCACCAGCACCGGGGAATGCGGGGTTACGAATCCGGCCGCGGCGATGGAGCTTCGTCGCCGCACGGGGATCGGAGTAGGGTGGCGGCGCCAGGGTTTTCGAGGAGAGGATCCCAGGGAGGCGGGCGGAGGTCGGCAGTGGCTACAACGTCACTTCCACAGCATTACAAAAAGAGGGAGAGCGAGCTATCGAGCAAACCGTGATCGCTCACAAAAGCGCAGAGAGAGAGAGAGAGAGAGAGGTTTAGCAAAAAATAAAAAAATAAAAAAGTATTATATATTTTTTAAATATTAATCTAAAATAAAGTATCAAATTAGCTTAAATTAAACATAATGGCATATATAATTATGTTTCAAAGGAATATGTATACACTTGAAAAAAAATCAAGTAATAAAATTTATACTTACCACTAAAATAAAAATGAATTTGCTAAAATAATTTCTACATCAATTTAACATTTTATTACAACGGAGTGATTTGCTCCGCATCAACTGTCACAAAATACGTGCCTCTGCATCGGCATCTGCATCATATAATATAATCACCCTCTTCCATAAAATAAAGAAGTAATGAATTAATTATACGATCGATCGAGGGCGATATGTGGAACCAGATCTCGCCTGAAGCTACCCTTCCTGTTTCGGCTGTAAGTCCCTGCGCAGGGAACACGCTCAGATGCACTATCAATGTCCACGTGGCTCTCTGCTAAACGATCCACATAATATTTGCTGTGCTGGCGGTGAGTGCGGCGGAGGCGAGACGGTGCACGAAGGACCTCGAGAGGCGAGCTTTGTTACCGCCACGTTGTAGCGTGCCACGACGCCCCACGCGACGAGACCGGCGTTCCACCGTGATTGGTGGGTCAGCTGCCGCAGTTTGTCATTTCGTCCTGTCAGAAGAGATGCGTGTGGTGGCCCACTGGCACTG